CTTTTGATTGTATATGCCACAGAGGTGAGGAATTTAAAATGCTGAGACTTACATGATCTCAGATTACTTTGTATTGAAAAAAGATGGTTGTAAGCTATTATAATGTAAACACATTTTTGCTATTAAAAACGTTATTCAAAGGAGCCAATAAACTGTATTCAAGCATTCAAGGGTTTTCAGTTGTTTTTGTTGGTACTTTTACCAGGAAATCTTAGCAGAAGAATAAACTCTAGCAGCATTTGTTCTGAAGAAATGGACTTGGTATCACAAAGTCTCAGTGACAGAACTAGGCCTTCCACTCAGATCTCTGGACTGTCAGTATTACACTCTTCCTGTGTGTTTTGTAGTCTGCCTTAGTTATTTAATACTGTGTGTCAGCTCTAGAGAAGTGTGTGTCTTTCTTAGCCATCGCTGCTGTTTTTATAGGCTCTACTATAAATTCTAAAACTTGGCCCAACAGCTTGCTTTTATCCAGTATAGATTATTTATGAAATGCATGAAAAAGAAAGAAAAATAAAAGGATTAAACTGTTAACATGCCAAAATATTTGTTTCTAAAAGACTAAACTTGGCCTTTCCCACTAAAATATACCCTTCAAGGTTGTTGATTGTTGTTCATACACAAACCTGATTCTCTCCACAGTTGTCATCCACTTGCAGAAGGGTTTATGGTGTTCAAAATATTTAGGTTTGGAATTAGATTATCTATTCAACTTTTTAGTTTTACAGACTCATGGAAATAAGTCTGGGGAAAATACTACTTTAAGAAATGCTCCAAAAATTTAAATTGCTATAATTATGTAATATAACTGTGTACATGGCATTTTTCAATGAATAACTGGGTTCATGATTCAATACACTTTAGACAGGTAAACAACAAAATTATCAGAAAATTCTGTCATTCAGAAAGGTCAGGCATGGAGAGGGGTCCAGGGTGGTGGCCTAGGAAAACCCCAACTCACCTACATATAAAGCAGTTCCTCTTGAAGAACATCTGAGGGCCAACTGAACAGCTTCTTCACAACAAATGAGAGGGGCCACAGAGAGAAGGTAGGAAAGACAGAGACATGGGAACCCTACCCCAACGGGGTGATTTCAGGGAGGGGTAAGACTGAGGGGCCTGCATGAGCAACTTGCCTGCTGAGACACAGTGATAAAAACAAGTGATTTAAAGGACACCAAGACTATATATGAAAAAAATCCATTTACTTACCCCAAGGTGCCTGCTGAACAGGTTGGGAACTTTCTGGAATTGGAGGTACCGGTGAATGCCTTTGTTTACGTTCCCCCTCCACCTAGATAGTGTGGGAGGGAGCTAGATCCAAGCATTTGACCTAGCCTGTAACGCCTCCACAGCTACCCTGGTCCACTCGGCCAGTACCTGCTGCAGCTCTGGCCAGTCTCGTTCCCCACCCGCCAGGCCTTGTACCCCTGACTGCCTCAGCAAATGCCTGTTCCTTGGTCATAAATAAATAGAGACTAAAAAAGCAAGATAAATGAAACTAAGAGCTGGTTCCTTGAAAAGATAAACAAAATTAACCTTTACCAGACTTATCAAAAAACCCCAAAACCCAGAGAGGGCCCAAATAAGATATGAAAGAGAAGTTACAACTGATGCCACAGAAATACAAAGGATCATAAAAGAAAACTATGCCAAAAAGTTGCACACCTTAGAAGAAATGGATCAATTTCTAGAAAAATATAGCCTTCCGAGACTGAACAAGCAAAAAAAAAAAAAAATCTGAACAGACTATTAGTAATGACATTGAATCAGTAATCAAAAACACCCAACAAACAAAAATTCAGGATGAAATGGATTCACAGGTCAATTCTACCAAATATTTAAAGAAAAAAATACCTATACTTTTCAAACTATTCCAAAAAATTCAAGAGGAAGGAATACTTCCAAACTCTTTCAATGAAGCCAGTATTACCCGGATACCAAAACCAGACAAAGATACTACAAAACAAAAAACAAAAAACAAAAAAAAAAATAAAAAGAAAATTACAGGTCAATAGATGCAAAAATTCTCAACAAATATTAGCAAACTGAATTCAATACATTAAAAGGATCATACACCATGATTAAGTGGGATTTATTCCAGGGATGCCAGAATGGTTATACCTTCTAAGTCAGTAAACATGATACACATCATGTAACAAAACCAAGAATACAAATGAAGGATGAAAATCATTTGGTCATCTCAACAGATAAGGAAATGCACTTGACAAATTCAACATCCACTTATGATAAAAATTCTTGAAGTGGCTATAGAGGGAACTTACCTGTACATAAAGTTGCAAGATACAAAATTCATATTCAGAAATCTGTTGTGTTTCTGTACACTAATAACAAGCTATCAGAAAGAGATTAAGAAAATAATCCCATTTACAGTCCCATCAAAAAGAATAAAATGCCTAGGAATACATTTAACCAAGGAGTTAAAAGACCTGTACTCTGAAAAACTATTAAGACACTGATGAAAGAAATCAAACACAATGCAAATAAATGGAAGGATATACCATGCTCTTGGGTTGGAAGGATTAATATTGCAAAAATGTCCATACTACCCAAAGCAGTATACAGATTCAGTGCAATCCCAATCAAAAGACCAATGACATTTTTCACAGAGTATAACAATCCTAAAATTTATATGAAACTGAAAGACCCTGAATTGCCAAAGCAAAATGAAAAAGAGAAATGTTGGAGGCATCATGTTCCCCTGATTTCAAACTATACTACAAGCTATAGTAATAAAAATAGGATGATACCGACACAGAAACAGACACATAGATCAATGGAAAGGAATAGAGAACTCAGAAATGAGCCCATACATTAATGGTCAATTAATCTACGACAACGGAGGCAAGAATATACAATAGGGAAATGACAGTCTCTTCAATAAATGGTGTTGGGAAAACTATATACATACATGCAAAAAAAAAAAAAAAGTGGACCACTTTCTTATACCATATACAAAAATGAACTCAAAATGGATTAAAGGCTTAAAGCAAGATCTGAAACCATAGAAGTAGAAGAAAACAGGCAGTAAAAACTCTTTGACATCGGTCTTAGCAACATTTATTTGGATATGTCTCCCTGGGCCAGGGTGACAAGAGCAAGAATAAACAAATGGGGCTACATCAGACTGAAAAGCTTTTACATTCTGTCACATTGCCTTTGTTTCTTTGAAAGTCTGGTAAGACCATATTTACGGTTTCTAGCTACTAAATCAGATGTAGAGTCTGCAGAGTTTGGGGGGAAGTTTTTTGAGACCTAAACTGTTACGCTGAGAATGGGTTTCAAGACTGGAGCCATTGGATAACCCAGGAAATGCTGAGGAAAAAAATGGAGTGGGCTGATGGAAATAGAATTCTTTTCTCACCTTACCTTCCTATCATCCATTCTTCGCCCACTTATACTCTCCCCACTTTTAAAAAGAGGTCATTTGGTTGAGTTACTAAGTATTACAATCCGATGCTATGTTGAGTTGCATCTCTTTCTATCACCACAATTTTTTCTTTAACACCTTTGACTCAGAACTCAGTGCAGAGATAATAGGAGGCATGTACTTTACAGTCAATTAATTTACATTTTTAAACCAAGAAACATCACTGCTTATTTGTGTGATTCTTGGTTTAACTGGGTTTTATTGAACTTAGACTTATCTTTTGCAGTGTTTCCCATTTAGGAGAAAGGTAAATCATGGAAAATGTTAACATTAGGGATTTATTTTTTTTAAAAGGAATTTAATATTTGCAGTATGTTTCAGATCCTTCACCTATTCATGCTTAAAAAGATGGTCCAAAGTGCTAAAATAATCTCAGTCACCAAGGGAATAATTGTTTGATGCACCTATCAATGCAGAAAAAAGATACACTTCAAAAATATTTAAAAACAAAAGTATTTTAAGCAATAAACAGAAGAAAGGAGTTTTTGCTTAATCCAAAGTTAACCAGAAAAGTTCCTTTTATTAAAATAACTCGTAAGTATTGCTCATCGATTTCCTGTACTTGGAACATATTTTTTTCCTGACCCTCTAAGACCATTTAGGATAGGAAGAAACCTGACATCTCTGGTTTTTGCTTATTACCTGAGTATGAATATGACATTTAGACTCCTTGCTCCCTGAAGACATTGGGAGCTCTCTCTGTGGAGTTGCCTGAGTAAGGATGGCAGAAGCGGTTTAAAAGGGCAGAAAGCCCTTTTCCGGGTTTTATGAACAGAGGTATAGAAAAGAAAATCAGACCCTACCTGCTGGCGTTAGGTGTCAGTTACCACCTGCCCCACACTTCCAAGCAGGGCCTCTCCCCCTTCCCGGAGAGTGCTAATCTGTCCAGCAGGGCCATGGCTTTCAACTGTGGAGCCAGTTCTTACCATTTGAGGTAAGGGCCAAACATTGTGTCGAAGTTAAATAACGCCACCTTGGTGTTTAGCTGAAAATATCAGCCCCATGATAAGATTAATAATTATATGATCTGGCTGGGGTAAGGAGAGAGCAGTCAGAGAATGCTGGTTGAGGCCAGGCACTTTGAAGACTTTTCCTTCTTTAACTTACTCTGACCTCTTTTGCATGTCGTCAGCCCCATGCATATTTGAAGATTAAAACATTAACAACTTCCTTATCTTTTCCAAACTCAGTGTGCATTAAGGCTCTTTTTAGATTCTGCCAGTCCTCTTTGGTGCTGTTCAGTATTGACTAAGTAGCTACCTGATGGGTAAAAGAAACTCAGAGCTTCACCCATGACAAGCTGTGTCTTCATTGTCTTTGTCTAAAGAATACAGGGTGTCCCCCCAAAATGTAAACACACTTTAACAGCTGAAAGCTCAATTGATATTTCTTCCTTTCAGATTTAACCCATTGGAATTAATAATTATTCAAAGTGTGTATACATTTTTTTGGGATACCCTTTGTATGGATGAGTAAAATAAAAATAAATGACAATAATGGGAAAGAAAGAATAAAAGTCCATAAAAATGGTCAGGTAGGAGGCGCTATATAATGAAGAGGGAACTTTCAGGTCAAAAGCAATAATTTATATTCTGGGGGCATTAATGAGTTTCTCAGTGAGTTAGGGAGGATTTGGAACTGGGGGTGGGAGGGAAAAACTACCCTTTGCTTCTCACCTGTCCAAGCCAATAACCGCAGAAGGTGGGAGGAAACCTTCCAGCATAACCCCTCCAGCCCGTCAGAGGACTACTCAGTCCATCCAGACACAGTAATGTGTTCAAATGGACTTGTGGAAAGCCAAATTTTTGAAATTATGACATCCCAACAGCATCAATTTCTAAGGTAAATGTTGGGGTCTTGCAGAACAACCTTTGGTTAAACAGGTGAGCATTAAACAGTACTAAATTCAGAAAGACAGCTCGACTTGCAGAAAGTGGATTGACAGAGACCAATAATCGAAAGAATTAGCATTGGCCCACGCATACACATGTATACACTGTATAAAATCTACCTTCAAATTATAATCTCCATTAGACTTTTCAGAATACTTCGTCATTCTTCCATCTTTTAATGATAACAGTCCTTGAATATATCAGTCAGCATGCTGGAATTATTGGGAGTGGCCAAATAAATGGACAAGATATATCTTAATACCAGTGAATGCAAGGCGTCAAGTTGCCTCATAGTCTCCAAGCCGTGGTTTGTCCAGCCCTCCCAAGAAGACCTCCAGATACAGGCAGATATCTGGATAAAAGTTACCCATAGTATTGGCAGTGAATTTAGTTACATAAGTCCAGAGTCTTACCATGCTTCCCAAGGTTAAATTCTTCGAGCGCTTTCTTTATCATGTCATTTGGGAACAGTTTTTATCACCTTTTTCCCATTTTTAAAGGTATGGGATGTGTTCCTGGTAAAATTTCGAATGGCATTATGTCTGCTGTTTCTTGCTACTCTTGAAACATATTTTTTATCTTGAAAGAATTTTGCCTTTTGTAATGCGTTGTGTTTAAGGGCAGCTCTGTGTGGTCCAGGAACAAAGCTATACAACAAAAAAAGAACATAGAAGATAAATGCCATTTCAATGTTAATAGGCTCTATATTAGTCTTTCTTCCTAAATTAATTGTTGCACCCATTTCTTGTTGCATCCTTCCTTCAGGGTAATTTTTATTAAGATTTCTGAACCAGGCAGATATATCAAAAGTTGATGAATAAGACATCAAAGTGTGCAAAAGTATTATTTCAACAGCAAAGTTTCTTCTTCATGGAACCTGTTCCATCCAAAACTTCACATGGGTGGCTGCTGTTTGTTCAGATTTGGGTTCAAATAGGGCCTCGTTAGAGTCTGCCCTATGTAGTTTTCCTAGTCCCACTCCCAGTCACTCAGCACAACATGCTCTTATTTTTTTCATAACACTTATTACTATCTGAATTTTTATTTACTTGTAAACTTCCTGGTGATCTGTTCTCTTCTCTTCCACCCTCCCAGGCAGAAATTAAGTTTCCCAAGATCATGTCTGATCACCATAGTAATGCCAGGAACCCAGAGGAGTGCTGAGCACACTCAGTATTTGTCTAATGAAAGCATAAATGAATGCCATGCCCTTCCTTCCACCTATCCATCCGTCCGTCCACCCAAATGTTGCTATCTGTTCTGTGGAAGGCACTGTGTTAGGTACAGTGGGGGACTTAGAAACAGTGCCTTGTCTGTCAGGTACATAAAGAGTTTGATTGGAAGTCATGAGTAACCCAACAGTAAAAGGAACTGGAGTAGGGCTCCGAAACACCTTGAGTGCCAGAGAACCCAAGGAATCACAGAAGCCAAGTGCTAACTAGAAGTTCCAGCCTGTCCAATAAAACTCTGTGCTGCAGGAAATGTCCTATAATCTTCACCGGCCAGTATGGCAGACACTATCTACATGTGGCTATTGAGCACTTGAAATGTTAATGTGACCAAGAAACTGAATTTTTAATTTCATTTAATTGAAAGCTAGTGGCTCCTGCATTGGACAACATAGGAAGATGGCTGTTTCCGGTGACATTTTTATTTTACAGAAAAGTGGTGGAAAGAGTTTTGGTTTCAAAAACATTTTTATATTCCATTTCCTCTACTTATTAGTTGAACAGTTCTGAGCAAATCATTTAACTAGAGTGACCCTTGTTTCTTCAGCCATAAAAGGGATTAAAAACAACCGAGGTGGTTGTGAGCAGCAACTGAAGTCCCCTAGACTAGATACCATGGTGCTCTCTTGGTTACAGGTGAGGAAACAGGTGCATGTGGGGGTTGAAGGTCAGTGACAGAGCTGAGACCAGAACCCAACTCTTCTGATGCTAAGAGTCCAGTGTTACTTCCATTGGACTAGGTTTTTATTCAGGACACTATGAAGAACCATCAGGATAACTGGAATAAGAAAGCAGAATGATAAATGCCATGCTTTCCGAGCACCTGGGTCTGGGTGCAGAACCATATGAAGGCAGATGGCCTGGGGCAGGCAGGACAGTTAAGGAACGAGGAACCTGGCCTGTAAGCTTTCAGAAACATTTTTCTAGTGAATGTGCGACAGCCTGGTGGGATAAGAAGAGGTTTATCAAGACCTACTAACCTTAGAAATAGCTGAACTGTGGTCAGGAGAAGGTTCAAGAGATCAATGGGGATAAAAAGGGGACATCTATAATATTCTCAACAATAAAGATAAAAAGATTAAAAAAAAAGGAAAGAAAAAAAAAGTCCAGATGTGGAGACCAGGAACACAGTGTCAATATTCACTATGATCTATTTCTTCATTTGGATTTTTCTGCTTTCACCAGCTAGAAATCTCTCTCACAAGGACATCAGTATTTACAAAACGAGTAAGTGAAAGATACAGAATTTTAAAGCTAAATTCACTTCTCTCTCCCACACCACGTACCTTATTTCATCTATAATGATAGGTAGGGGTGAAGGAGCCGTCAAACCAACTAAGGTAACCATGCCATTCCTGTTCCACAGACCTAAAGGCTCCGTGCGTTATATAGCACATGTCTGGGCCTCTGAAGCGCAAGTCCCCAAGCGTGTCTCAGTGCCATCAGGAACGCACTGAGGTGATCAGACTCCCAGTTACCAAGAACGGCAGTCACGGCTAAATTTCAGTGCAAATTCAGTTTCCTCACACCTTCCCACATTTTTGCTCTTCTCTGTGTATCATTAAATTCCCAACTGAATGTTATGAACTCAAATTCCCCCAAATCTTCCTTGTCCACATGCACCAAACATGGCTCCTCGGCTCATGGAGATCGCGTTCTTTTGAGTCTGTAACAGTTCTCATGGCCTGAGTGTCTCTCATCTATACTGGACTCTCCCCTCTCCCCCCCAGGTCCCCTCTTTTCATTGGATACTTTTTGTGGTAAGTTTTGTTGTCTTTCTCATATTCCTCCCTCTTTAAGAAAAAGTTAAGTTGGTAACTGCTGCTTTAGCATAGCATTGCTATCTTTCCCCCCTCAAATATTTATATTCTCAAAAGTGTCGAACCTGATAAATACCGTATCTCTGAATTCCCATTTTTTTCACTCTGTGGTTTATAGGAACATGTATTGGATAAGCATTTGATAAGAATCATTTGATTATCGTGTTTGGGAATCACACAGATTTTATCTAATTCTCCTGCTCTATAATGCTCGGATACTTCTTTACTGATGGGTAACTCCAACTCTAGGTAAAGAAACAGGGATGAAACGCTCCATCCATTTTGCAACTTGTGCCCACCTCCAGCAAAGCTTGTGGAAAGGTGTCAACTGGACAAAATGAGGTGGGGGGGCCTAACTGTAGATTTCAGTTCTCCGTGATCACAGATGGCGCCGTCCATGCAGCTAATCAGGACTCAGCCACGCTGCATTTACTAGTCGACTGGATTCATCAGAGTAGAAAATGCAGACAAGATTGCTTCTATTTTGAGAATTCTTAACATTTTGTGTGTCGAAAAAACATACTTTGGAAAGCAGAATTACGACAGGTGTGTTATTCATATGGCATTGGTGACCGTGTCCATTTTTACAGTTTAGTTGTTCTGGCTCTGGTCTGTCTATGCTTTAAGTCCGGTGCAAGTGCCTCTCTGACTGAAGTGATAAGCAGGTGGCTGTCTGTCTTTTATTGCCTCTGAGCAGATCTCAGTGCTTACAAAGAGGCTGCCCTGCAGTCTCACCCTCACTGGCCATCTGTGTCCTTGGTTGATTGTGCTTTGCTCCAGTCCTTTCTTTTTCCATCTGATAAGAACCAGCTTCTACCTGTATTTCTTAAAATCTCACAGCAGAATGATCTAATTCGTATGCAGGTCATTCTGAGGCCTCTTGCCTAGCAGGCGCTCCCATCTTCCTCAATTCTCTGTGCTCCGTTCTGCCTCACTTCCCTTGAAAGGCTGAGGCAGGGAGTTTTAGAAGCAGCTGTGCGGCTCATTACCTTTCATTAGAGTCTTTGGTCACTTAGAGGAGGCCTGGGGTGTCCCAGCCTAGCACACCATCAGGGAGCTCACCGACAGAGGTGTGGGCTGCATGTCTCAATTGCTGATGTCCCAGTCACTTCCTAACATTTCACCATTTTGGGTACACGGGAAGCTGAACCTCTGGGTATATCTAAGGCAACGTGGAGACGGGGCAAGAAACTTTCCATCCAAAGGCACTGTGAATCTCCTCGCCCCCCAATATTGCTCTTCAGATAATGAGAGCTGGGAGTTTCCACAAATGCCTTCTAGTTTTTACAAGCTGACTACTGCGTCTGCCCTTGCAGTTTTCACCTGCTGCATATTGTGTGGGACCCGATGAGATGCAAAGGAAAAGCCCTTTCCACACTTCCAGGCACCTGCAGCAGGGGGAGCCCCGCCCTTGGTGGACTGACTGCGCAGGCAAGTTCTAGGCCTGACTTCAGGAAGCGTTTGCTGCTGGACAGTTCCCTGCCTCCAGCGAGGTGAGGAAGGCTTCACAGCTTCTTGCTGGAGCTGGGGCTGGAGCTTCTGGACTGGGAGTGCCTCTCTGGCCCCGACCACCACGCAGAATGCACACACTGCACAATGAAAGTTGGCACACTATCGAAGGCATTTGCCCAAGTGTGACTCTGGCAGTTGGTGCACATTTGATTTCAGTCCGATGTGGGCAGGTGTGTGTGTGAGTACAGCGTGGTTTACCACTGAAACAAAGACGCCCTCTTCTAACTACTTGATTTAAATTATTTCTAATTTTAAAAATGTAAGTAGTATCCATACAGGCAAAAGATGTAAATGTTTATTATTAAGTTTTAAAAGAGCTAACTTTTGCCTTTGTTGACACTTTTTAAAATATCTTAAAAATATTATGTTCTACTTTATTCCTATCTTTGAGTATATCCAATTTTTTTTCTTCTGTAACATCTTAAGAGCAACGTTTAGCTCATTAACTTTTAGAGTTAAATGTCCCATTATTTAGAATGTGATTTTAATTAAAGAATGTATGTACTTTAAAAATATTATTTTTCACTCTGGTCAAGTAGCTCAGTTGGTTAGTGCTTTGTCCCAATGTGCCAAGGTTGCAGGTCTGATCCCTGGTCAGAGCACATACAAGAAACAACCATAAATAAGTAGAACAACAAATCAGTTCTCTCTCTCTCTCCTTCCTCTCTAAAATCAATAAAAAATTAAAAAAATATACTGTTATTTCTAAATTGCACTGTGTAGGTCATTTGGATTGATGGCATCAATTCTTACAGGCAAGTTGACACTTGCTAGGTAAGTTAAAAATTGCAGAATGAACACCTGTAAACTCTTTACCTTGATTCAATAGCTATCAATGTCCTATGTGTTCTTCAGAAGAATGTCTCATTTTTCTCTGCAGGTTCTAAATGAGTCTGTTAAATTAAGTTTGTTACTTAGGATTAAATCTTTCACTTCTTTATTGATTTTTGTCTGCTTCACCTCTCAATATTCAGACTGGTAGACTCACATCTCCAACTCAGACGACAGTTCCGTGGCCATTTCTCCATGTAGATTTCAATGTCCACTTTGTATATTTTAAGGTTTTATTACCCTCGTATACATTTAGAATTGTTAACGTCATCATGTAGTAACTCAATCTCTATTCCCACAAAATGGTTTCATTTAAAAGTATATTTTATCCGATATTAACATAGCTATTCCAGCTTTCTTTTTAAAACATTTGCCTGGTCTATTTTTTCCAATAATGTTACTCTGAACTCTTCCATTTCTTATTTTATAGCTGTGTCTCTTGAAAACAATTATAGCTGAATTTTACTTTGTTTCTTAAATCCATCAGTCTCTGATTGTAATCGGCATGTTCAGTCTGTGTGTTTTATTTTGATTACTGATACAGTTAAATGAATTTGACCCTGCTGTCTTTTTGCCTTTTGTGTGTCCTTTTTCCCCTTTCCTGCCTTTTTATTAAAAATATTTATTATGCTGTTTGTTTTTAATAACAAAAGATGATTTAATTGTTTACTGTATTTTCTCATGTTTAGGTAATTAATACATAAATATTTACTAACATTTATAGTGTTAGTACAATTTTTTTTTGTTAAAATCACCAGGTGCCAAATACTTTATTTCCATAGCTTTGTTAACAAGTCCAACCATTTTGTAACCTCACAAATTAGATATTGCTATTTCCAAATACAACATTTAGTTAGGTTTATCTAAATATTGACAAATTTTTATCATTCGCTCTTCTTGCATCTCAGCCTTTCCTTCTGTGGTCATTTTTGTTTCCCTCGAAGTACATACTTTCGAAGTTCCTCTAGCAAAGGTCTCTGTGGTAAACTGTTGTTTTTTGTTTCCTCAACTTGTCTTTGATTTACCATTATTTTTGAAAGACAGTTTTTCTAAGTTAACAAAAATTTTCTTCCACTACTTTAAAGGTTCTCAAAAGTGTTGTGACTTCCACTGTTGCTACTGATAATCCAGCGGCCGGCCTGATTGTAGTGTCTGTGTAGGTGATCTTTCTAGCTGCTTGTAGGTTTTCTTGGTCATGTCTGCATTCTGCTACATCATGTCTAATCGTTGTTGTCTTTTTATTTATCCTGCCTGTTAACATATTGTTTTTTCTTCATCTTTTAATTCATGTCTTTTATAAGTTCTTGAAAGTGATCATCTCTTTGTGTCTTTCAATGTTCTCTCATTTATTATTTCTATTTTATCTTTCTAGAATTCCAATTAGATAGGTTATTTTTCTTCAGATGTGTCTACTACTATCTTTAATCCATCCATTGGGTATTACAAGTTATTTTTTTATTTTGAAAATTGTCAAGTTCATGGAATATTGTAAAGAACAGAACCATGAATAAATACCTGTATACCTTTCTCCTAGATGATTCTCCAGTGTGCGTACACACATGTATATCTATGTATACACATACGCGCACACACCATCCTCCTTCCCCTTGGGAAAACCACCTGGCAGGAGGCTGCAGCATCATGCACGTTTCTCTTAAATACTTTACATACCTGTCTCCAGAACAAAGACATTCTTATACTAACATGATTCCACTACCACATGGAAGGAAATCCACACGAATCAATAATATCATGCAGCATATTGTTCATACTCAAACTTCCCCGACTGTCCCCCAAACGCCATTTGTGTATTTCCTTCTGACCCAGGATCAGGTTGCGATTTACACCATCACATTTGGCTATTAGGTCTCTGACTCTCCCATTCTGGGGCAGCTCCCCACCTCTCTCTGCAGCTCGGGACATTGAAACTTATGCGGAGCCTAGGCCAGCTGTTCTGAAGAGCCCTCCATGTTCTGGAACTGCCCAGTGGTTTCCTCATTATTGGACTTGGGTCAGACATCTCCAGCAGGAATCTCACATAGCTGTTGTATTTCCTGCATCTCAGGAGGCAGATAATATCAGAGCTTGGTTCAAGTGGGCACTGCCTGACCTTCTTGCCAGATTTCACCACATAAAAGCACATCTCCGTCTTTGTGTCACTAAGTGAGATGTGAGTGGTTCCATGAGACTGTCAATAGCCTGCTCCCCGCCAACCTGCCACCCAATGGGTTTAGCGTTCCTGGATCCTTGCTGACTCAGTTATTCCACTTAGGCTTACAAATTAGCCGTTTTCTAATTCTACCACTTCTATATTTATTAGCTAGCATACTTCTATAAAAAGAGAACTTTTCCTCCCCCTCCTCCCTTTTTGGGTCTCTCTACAGACTTGTGAATTTTTAGAAATCAGTGTTTTAATCCATTCCCATCATAGTTCTTTTTGATATTCAAATTGCCCCAAATTGGGCCAGTGAGAATCCTTTCAAGATGGCTCCTTTGTCCTTTTGCTATGTCGCTATTGGCTTTTTGCTACTCTCTTGCTTTCTGGTATAACACATATTCCAGGCTCACATTGTACTTTCCCCAATACAGTCTAGAATTAGCTATTTCTCCAAGAAACCCTGGTTCCTTTTAGCGGGGAGTGATATTTAGAAACCAAGATCTGGTCATTAGTTATGATCATTGCCACTGGGGAATCTCATTGATTGTTTTATTTCAACAATTAGATTTGGCACTTTAAAAAACTCTTTTGTTATTTTTCAAATCAACCTCCCTTCTGATTCTCTCTTGTCCCCTCAAATTGTACTTTCATATTGGGTAGCAATAGATTTTGCCCAACTAGGATGGAGTAGGAGGAGGAGGGAGGAGGGGCCACATTCATTTGTCAAGTAATATCGAGCAGATAATACCTTCGCAATTGCTGGGACGGCTGCCTTGAATTTGTAGAGCTGAGTCTGTTGCACTTTGTTTTGAAGTTTGTTGGTGGATACTTGTTGATTGCACCTAGGAGGAGAACAATGTGTGATGAGTCTCTTATTCTTAGAGGCTATTAACATTGCAGCAACATGCTCTGTATGCAACATGTCACATCACTGTTTTCAACATCCACCCAAGGAAGACTCCGGCTCGGGCGGCCATGTGAGAAGAGAGATTTCTCAGAGGAGTCTGTAAAACTGGGTTTTAAAAATACATCTCTGCCAAATTTACAAGTGGAGAATTTGATATACTTTTCAATAAAAGTAAAAGCTTCTAAAGTTGGTCAAACATCAGAGGAGCTCTCATGAGCCAGTCTTGAGAGTCTGGCTTCTAATTGACATGAATTAATCATAATAGTTTTTATTTGATCATTTGAAAAATATCAAAATGCAAAGGGGAAACAATATTCCCTTTATGGTCTCTCTCATTAGCAACAACAGAAACAATAGCGTCATCCTGGGTTTAATTCATCCGTGGGTCATTTTGTTTGGAAGTACAACAGTTTTTCATGATAATAAAGCTTGCCTCTTAACCACACCATCTAAACATTTATAAGCCATTTCTGATGGGAAACTTTTTAATAAATGTATTATTTATTTCCTTGAAGCATTAAATTGAACAGACTTGTTAAAAACAATTAAATCTCTTCCTGGTGATCTAGGGTCATCCTAAGTAGCAAGTTTGTCCTGGGCTGTGTGACAGCCGTTGTACGTTGGGCTGTGTGCTTCTAAGTTGAATGGCCCAAGACTGTGATGTTTCCCTTCTGTGCGTCTGAATTTTAATTTTTTTATCCATCTTAACTCTAAGCATCAGGTTGTTTGTCAGTTATTTTGTTTCTCTTAGAAAATGTGTTGATTCTGATGTGGACTGTGCTTAATAGCCAACTCTATCACAGCAGGGTGTTAAATAAGAGCCACAGCCTAGAGAGCTAGAGCGCAGGAGGGCAGTGACCATGTCTGGCTTGGTAACTCCTCGATACTCTGCACCTGAACAGTGAGTGGCTCCCCCCTAATAAATGTGTGTCAATGCTGAGTGGGCGAGTGTGAGTCTATGGGCCTGCTATGGAATGAAGTATGCAGGCTCCAGTAGGATTATGCCAAAGCCTTTTTCAACTCCTTGTACTTTTACAGCTATATTTTAAAAACTAATGATTTCTAGATACTTAACTTCTAGAAACGTGGTATATAACTCTGTCATGGTTTTATAATCTTCCAAAAAGCACTTTCTATATCTCTCACCTACCCCAAGTAACTCTTAAAACATCTCTTCCCCTCTCTCTGGGTGGTGGTGGGGTGTCATTTATCTAATCATATACAGCACACCTCTTTTATTGTGCTTCCCAGATGTTGTGTATTTTACAAACTGAAGGCAAGACCTGCCACCAGCAAAAAGATTATGACTATTTTTTTTGCAATAAATATAAACATAGCTGTACTGCAGAAGTCTGGAGCCGAACCCTCAATATCTCCCAGGCATGCCTGTAGTGTGACTACCATGAACCACCGCTAAGAATTTGGGGGGTCTGAAATTCCATCTTAAACTTCCTTTCAGCTTTTTTGCCTCATACAGAGTGTTTCTTGACAAATTTCTCAGAGTCTTTCAAGGTGTTCTTCTGTTTTACCTTTACAAACAAATGCCTACAGATTACTTCCCTTAGATTTTTTTCTAGCTCCTCTGTCCCGTTTTCTAGCGCCTATTCCAGAACACATCCACATCAGTTTCACTCTGGGAGCTTACTGCTCCCAAATCAGTGTTTCTCAAACCATATGTGCATGTGAACCACCTGGGGATCTTGATAAAATGCAGACTCTGGTTCAGAATGTCTGGGATGGGGCCCGAGACACTGCATTTTTCGCAAGCTTCCAGGTGATGCCAATACTGTTGGTCTTAGACTCACATCTGGAGTAGCAGAGACCCAGCAACGATTTCCCAAGGCTCCTCAGGCCTCACCTGTGCTGACTAGGCGGTCCCTTTGCAGCCTTAACTCCTCTCACCGTGTAATGCCAGTGACAAGCTGAGACACAATCAGAATCTCCCTACACAGGGTGTTCTTTTGCCTGTGTGTTCACTTCTATTTATCTGAACTCCAAGGGCTCATTTATCATGAAAACATTCAGAAATTCAACCGTGGGCTTTTCAACCTCCGGAATCACACATTATCAGGACGTGGCTTCTTTTTATGCAACCTGTTTGCATTCAAAATGAATTGCAGACTTTCAGGGCAAGCTCACTCCAAGAAATATAGCCATGATTTAAAAAAAAAAAAAAAAAAAATTATGGGCACCAGTTGCACTAATTACTGGCATCATAAAAAGTCATTAATAAGGCTGAGAATATTTTGTAAGTATGTATCTTTCATTCTGACAGGTAAAACGGTATCTCCTAATACTTCAAACTCTGCCTTTTGAACCTGTAAAAGCAAAGCCAAGAGTTGTTGAATTTTCCTTTGGCTCTCTTTTTTTGATGTGTTAACTGATGAAACTTCCCATCCCAGGGCAGCACGACAGTGCCACATGGCAAGGGTTTCTACTTCGTGGCTAAAGTCCAGGCTGGGGCTTGACCCCCCCAGACTATATTGCCTCATGCGGACAGATGTGTGAGCACCTGCCTGTTATGATTGCTTCTCCATAGCACCCAGACATAGAAAAGATGAGCCAGAAGATGAAGTGCTTAGGCATCAGGGCTTCCTCCCTCCACCGTTCATCATTACATATGTTCCTTTCTGAGCCTGCTTTGCCCCTGAGGACACACACGAGGCTTCCAAGGATCCGTGTCAGCTAATCAACCCTTCATTTGTACCAGCTACACTCTACATGTACAAGGAAGATTTTACGACTTACGCCTGATTGAGTTTATAAAAGACTTCACAAACTTCACGCTGTATGTGTGGTCAGGTTTGTGAACCCGACCAAGCTGGACCAAGTGGTGATCTAGAGGGAGGCTGGCTAGATCTTCCAGTTCCTTGTCATTCCAGGTGGGGCCAAAGGAAAACACAAATAGGGCATAACCTTGACATTTGGCTTTCAGAGATTCTTTCTTTAAGATGTCTCTGTCCAAGTGACTGGTTTCCCCAGCAGATATCACAAATATGACTTTGTTTTTTCTCGGATTTGGTGCACTTAAAAAGATATTGTCCAGAGTCCACTGTAAGGCATGACCGATAAAAGCGTCTCCATTTAGGTGCTGAAGCGATTCTTCCACATGCCTCTTCATGCGCTGTCTGCTGTTGTAGGTGGTGAGGTTGAACTCCGTTCTAACAGGACTCTTCTGAGTGTTGGGGAGGAAGTTGGGGGGAGCATGACTTAACAGGGCCACGCGGTCTCCAGTGAGCGAGATCTCGGGCTCCTGGGTGATTTCAAAGTGATCTAACAGTGCTCCCAGGAAGTGTCTCATGTCTTCAAATTCGGCACTTCCCACATGCCGGGAGCTATCCAGCAGGAAAGCTGCATCCAGGTAAGACTGCACAGGGGGTGGTCTGGCTTGGTCGCAAGAAGCATCCGGCTTGCAGATATCTGCAGACCAAAAGGCACTTAGGGTTACCAAACAGAAATGGACAGAAACGGAAAGACAGCATCTCAAATATTTCAGCATTTGAAAACTGCATGATCTTTGATCTTAAAATAGCTACTAAATCTGATATCAACCCAGGAAGATTTCCTAGTACATGGTTTGCATCTATATCCACCCCCCTCCCTTTCTTCACATAAGTGAAGAAAGCAATGAACCTTTTATTTCAATTTGAGTAGAGGTATGTTATAATTCAGTGTCTGTGCATAGACATTAAGGACAAAGCTACTGCTTATGTTTGTATCTCCATAGTGATTATCAGTTGAAAGCTTAACATGTGTTTGTTAAATAAATGAATATAAGTGCTGCATATTAAGGGGCTTTCATAGCATGAGGTCATTTTAATAAATATGTATATTTTATTTAACAAAAAATGTGTAGTAATAAAAACAGTAAATGTTATTGACTGACCACATGAATATACAGAGAAATTTAAAAAATGGAAAGACCCTAAGGGTAACCTAATCTTCGAATTTTACAGGTGACACTGAGGGCAGGAGAGTAAAATAATTCTGTGAAAGGATATAGCAGTATTTCTAGCAGTTTCTGCATATGAAGTCAGTGTTCTGTTAGAGGCAAGGCCATGAGGTACAGCAGTGGGGAGGCCCCTTGGCCTGAGAACCAGGATACCTGCATCTTGGTCTTGCTGTATCCGGTAACATGCTCTGTGCATCTATCCAGGCCACCTCTGGGCCTCGATTCTGCACAATTAGATGGATTAGATTCATCTGGAGAGCCTTTCTGGGACGAAATTCTGTAACCCTAGGTTTTCAGTAACAATTAATGGTTAAGGATGAGAATGGCCTCTTTAAAACCAGAGAGAAGAGAGACGATGGAATAACATGTGCGTAGACAGCTGGTACTTAGATATGGGCCCGGGCAGCAAAGAAAAGCTATTACATGAAAGGTTAATAACCAGAATGCAGAGCCTAGGGGATATAGCAAACCTCCTGACTTTATTCTTGTTCATGGCCTCCATGAGGCTCTGGACAAGTTATATTTCCCTTACTAAAAGTTCAGTAAAATTTTATGACCACATTTAATGGTCAGATGACAGAACGGTCACCTGGGTGCAAGGCAATTTCTAAAATCAGGGACAGCAGGCTGCCCATTTGTTCAATTTTGTGGAGTTTTTTAATTGCAGGAAATGACAGCCAAAATATCTTCCTTTATATGCCTATGAGGCAAAACAAGGGATCGAGCCAAGAAATGAAGCCAAAATCTATCCCCAGCCACACACGTGCAACTTCTGACTGTGCGACACAACCAGTGCACTGCTGCAGCTGACGTGTGTGAAAGCCAACCGAGAGCCTAGGGGGTGGGATGTAGCTCCCCACAGTATGGTTAGCACTTTAAGTGCTTTGAGTGAGAACATCAGGGCCTAGTACTCTGTGCAACTGAGGGGATGAGAGGGGGAAAAGGGGAGGGGAAGCGGAGAGGGGAAGGGGAGAGGAGGGAAAGAGGTGAGGAGGGAGGGAGAGAGATTGAGTAGAGGGAAGCAGAGGGGAAGACTGGAGGAAGGGAGGGCTATTAGAAGAAATTCTGCCTCTCCCTCAGTTACCTCCCCCCAGGTGAGGTCAGTTATATGGCGAGCATTAGCATCTTATTGACAAACACGGAGAAGGACAGGAATTAACCATTTTCTTTGAGGCCAAATATAGTTTCAAGGAGCGGAATCGTGGGGTCTCTGTTACTTATAAATTGCAGGCATTTTAAAGCTAGTTTTCTTGGGTTTGATTGGGCTGCTAGGCCCCGAGCAAATTGTTTCATCTCTCTAAGCTTCATTTTTCTCATCTGTAAAACAGAGCTAATAATAGTTCAAACGTTTTAGGGAGATTATAGAGACTGAATGAACCGGTTAGGAAAGTGCTTGAAACACAGTAAACACAATAGCTTGGGTATTAACTGTCATCACCACCATCATCAGGGTTCTGTAAAGCAAGTAGGACTGTTCACAGTTTCTAACAAATGCTTGGTAACTCAGCTATCACACCCACCAGTAATCTCAGTGTCTTTCCCGAGTTTCATAAGCCCTAACACTCAAGTACAGGCTAGCCAGTTCTCCAGCTCGACCTGCAGACTGTAGAAAACAGCACACAAACCAGGGCTGCAAATCTCAATGTTTCACGTTTGGGAGTCCACGAAGCGTCTTTCCAATGACAAAGCAGCACGTGAATTTCTGCTAATTTCCACTTGTACTGTAATTCATTTCTTTGGGGTTGTGAACATTTGAGATTTAGATAACACATAAATACACTTTATAGCGTGAAAAACTTGGCAGTGAGACAGGCTACATTTTTCTAAAAATCATTGCTGGTTCCTGGAAGCTGTGGGAAGCAGGGGGGCCTGAAATGCAATCCCCCTGCTGTGGTTCCTCGGAGGAGACCCTGCGCCCTGCTCCTAGCTGAAAGGCTCCATCTGCAGATGATGAGGTGAGCCCAGGGCCCCGGGGAAATTCTCCCAAGGCCACACGTGGTGTCCTTGCTGCCAAGTTCCAGCCGCTCCTGCCAAGGGTGACTCAATGTGCTTAATAGGCCTGACTGAATTCTATTCTCTCTGTGGGTCTTACCGTAGCAGAACGTGCACCTCTGTAGTCTCTCTAATGCTGGCCTGTGGTCAGCCCCGGATGGAACCATTACTATTTGGAATGTGCCAGTGTCATCGATCTGCAGGAAGGAGAAGCGAGATTAAGAACAGCTTAGTGGGTGGGGCTGCAAGAATTTCCCAGGACTGTTCACAGAAGGGAGATGTGGAGAGAGCCGTGCAGCTGCTTCCTAGAAGGCTGTGGGGAGGCGCAGCAGAAACAATTAGTCTGTACTGTCAGTGGCTTTTAATAGGTATCTGGGCAATGTTTGGAGTGAATCATGTGTTCACTTCATCTGGATTGTGATGAGCAATGGGGAAACCAAACCCAGAGAGCATGGACAGGCCATGCGGTGGGGGCAAAGCGCTTTCTTATTGCCAACTATTAGGATCCAGAAACAAACAAACAAACACAATGTTTGAGCTAGGAGAAATCTTAGAAACCATGTGATCCAATCCCACCATTATACCGGCGAGGAAAGTGAGCCCAGAGAGGGTGGAATAGGGAAGGCTCCAGTTTAAGTTTTGCTCTTTCCAAATAGGACCCACCTTGCATCCTCTGCATGAGCTACCTTTATGGCTGCAGTTTTGTGTCAGGGGGTTCTACCTTGATTTAGAGCAGTGTTCTCACAGTGTCTTCCTGGGATTGCTGCCATTTAACTAGTCTGTGTTCTGCATGTCTAAAATGTGACAACTTCCATACTTCCCGTGGTGGCACTAGTTGATAAATTAGGCTTCATATTTAAGCGTGTATTAGCTTGCTGGTGGCAACCCGAAACACCCTCCTTCTCACCGATTCTAGCACATGGCTTTATTGGGAGCATCCACGGGGAGTCTGCTCTCCCTGCCCTCCCCATTCCCAGTAATCTCCCAGTCCACAGAGCCGGCCAGGTGGGCTCTGAGAGATCAGTCATCCTGCCGCACATCACTGGAGCAACTATAGCTAGCATATATTACGGAAAATTCCTTCAACTGAATGTCAGTTGGAAGGTCCTATTTGAAAGGGTTCTATTTAAAATTATTTAAAAGAAAAAGGATCCACTTTTCTGTGGATTCAAAGCAGCACCAACTTGGATGAAAGCACTGCTATGAAGTCACAGAAGGGCACAATGAGGCATTCAGCATTCAGTTCTAATGATTCTCTGCCCTTTCTTTTCTAAACATTATGGGGCTCCATAAATTGATGTGTTCAAGAAAAAATACAATGTATATCTTTAGATAATTCTATATTAACAAAGGAAATCCTTCTCAAAATAAAAGGTTGGGTGCTCCAAATGCTAAAGTTTCCCAGTAGAAATTTTACCACATTCATTTCATCTGTCTTCAATCACAAGAATAACCTGTAATGTCAAATATTACTCTTAATTTTTCTCTCATCTGCAATACTGAACAGCAGAGTAAAGAAAAAAAATAGGCTAGCTAAAAGAGACATTTTTGTAAGTATATTAGGAAGGGAGACTCACTCTCTATCAAAATTCTTCATGTGCAGCACGTATAATTTCACCAGGAGAGGTAATTGCCAAGAAAATTTAGAGGGAAAACCCTAGTGGCAAAACAAAGCTGAGATTGAAGTTTTTCTAGTAAAAAAAAAAATGGCCTTCTATTTCAGAAGGTCACTCAGCTTCATGTGAGCATGAAAGATTTCCAGGACGGCAATCCCAAGTCCATTTGCTAAGGAACACAGGGAAACCAGACCGCGGGGTCAGAGCGGCTGCTTCCGAGCCCTGCCGCACACATCTCTGCACAAGTCCCCGATTTCACACCGAGTGCTGAACTCTCAGATCAGCTGCGATTTGGAAAAGTCTTGATAATTATGAAATAAACTCACGGTTTTAAAATACGGCCCCCAAATTAAAAATTCATTGTCATGAAATTTTTGAGTTCAAGTAATAATAACCCACAGTTTACATGTAGGTAAGCCCAACAGAAGAGATGACAGAAGGAGAAGGGCAAATGCAGAACTAGCAACATAGTTTCTCTTCTGAACACCAGGTACCGGGTCCTCACTAACTTTTGAATATGCTCTATTTTCAGCCGTCCTGGACGACCCTGCCCAGTCTGTCCTCCATGAGGCTGGGTCTCTTGGTTTTCTACTTTACTGCTGTATCCCCAGAGCCTAAGCCAGCACCTGGTATACATGAGGTGCTCACAAACATTTGCAGGATGAACGACCCTTGGGACCAATTCTGACTGGTGTCTGCATCTCTCTTTTGTTCAAGAGGCGTTTGGAGCCAGTTCTGCTCAGATTTATGAGGGTCTTTGTCAAGAATTTGAACCTTCCTTGGTGCCCTTTTGAGAGGAACTCCTTCAAGAAAGGAGGAAAGAGTCTCTAGGCGATTTGGGTAGAACTGCTTAAGTGACATTGTTTACATGCAAAAGGTTTAAAATAAACCAACAAAATACGTTTTTCTAAGTTATATGCTGTGCATATACCTTTGAGTGAGCGGTAGAATTGTGTCAGTTTAAGTTTATATTCCAAGTAACCTCAATGATTTATTTACAGTAGGATATTAAGTTATCTCTTGTTTTGTGACTAAATAAAGCCAAGGGACAATAGCGGCTCTCAATGAACAGAGGGAATTATGAGGATTCTGAGTAACCAAATCCACCTACAGAATCTGGAGCTCCTGCATCTCACAGCAGCTTCATTTGCATAGCCTGGCCCCAGCCTTTTCTGAGACTGATACATCAGCCTGCTCATTTGCATAATTCTGAGTTAGTTCCGTGATGCTAATAGCAGTTTCAGTTCCTCTACAGCCTAGATTTCAACATTGTTAAACACGTTTTTGTTAGTATCAAGCAAAGGAGTGATAATAGAGAAAAGCTACCTTCTTGAGTGTTTAGTTTGTACTAAGCTCTGATGCCGTGTTGCATCCTTTCATCAACAGCTCTAGGCGACGGGCACTGCTTCCTCTGTTTTACAGACAAGTGGTCTATTTGCACTCAGTTCTGCTTATTTGAACAACTTCACAGAAAATGAAGCTGGAAACGTCAAAAGCCCACTTAATCCAAGCCTCCAGTTTCCAGGAAAGACAGAAGTCACTGACAGGTGAGTGACTGCCCCTATGATAGGCCTTCAGGAAAAGGTGACATCTTGACCACCTAGTCAGCCAGTTAGCCCATGGCGACAGTAAATCAATCTTGCCTTGAGAAAATTCTTACGTAACTCTAACTGCTATTAATCCCAGTTTCTTTAATATGAAAGTTTGCGAAGTTGGAGTACAGCTGGCTAATTTTCTGCAGTAATCATTTTTCACACACTTGAAAACAGTGATTCAGTTGCTTCTTACTTTCCTTCCTCCAAATGAAATAATTTCAGATGCTCGGCCTTTTTGTTCAGGTTGTATCTGCCAAGGCCCTTCTGCTGCCGTCTGAGGCCCCTCTTCATGGTTTTCACATGAGTGCAGAACAAAATACCATGCTGGGCCAACACAGAAGACTGGAAGAACACTTTGTTGGGTCCAGCAGGTCTTTTGTAAGGGAGTCCTGCCACTGAGCCACTATCGGCAGGGTGTTTTAAAAGGTTCGAATGGCTATTATAAAAAAGACAAGAAGTAACAAGCACTGGTAAGGATGTGGAGAAATGGGAACCCTTGCACACGCTTGGTGGGAATGTAAATTGGTTCCATCACTATGGGAAACAGCATGGAAGTGACTCAAAAATACTAAAAATAGAACTATCATATGATCCAGCAATTCCACTTCTGGGTATTTATTTTAAAAAAACACACAAAAAACAAAAACTCTAACTCAAAGAGATACATGTACCTTCATGTTCACTGCAGCATTATTTACAATAGCCAAGGCGTAGAAACAGCTTGTGTCCACCAATGGATAAAGAAATGTGATTTTACATATACAATTAAATGTATAATGAAATGTTATTCAGCCATAAAAAAGAATAAAATCTTGCCATTTGTGACAACACAGATGGAACTCAAGGGTATTAGGCTGAGTGAAACAAATCAGACAGAGAAAGACACATGCCATATGACCTCACTTAGGTGTGGAATCTAAAAACAAAACTGAAACCCGAATTCATAGAGAGAACAGATTGATAGCTGCCAGAGGTGTGGGGTGGAGAGATGGGTGAAAAGGGTGATGAGAGTCAAAAGGTACCAATTTTCAGTTTTAAAATAAATACATCATGGGGTAGTAATGTACAGCGTGATTATAGTTAATACTGTATTCCATGTTTGAAAGGTGGCAAGACAGTAAATTTTAAAAGTTCTCATCACAAGAAAAAACAAATTTTATAACTACATATGGTGACAGATATTAACTAGACTTTTTGTGGCGACCATCTTGTAATATATATAAATATTAAATCATGTTGTACACCTGAAACTAATATAATGCTATATGTCAATTACACCCCAATTTTTTTTTTTTTTTAAAAAAGGTCATCTTGATCCCAGGTTTACTTGAGAATGCTACACAGTAAAGATTTAATCCGCAACCTAAGAAGCTACAACCAGAATGGCTTTTCCTTTATGACATTTGGATGGCTACAAGATTGGCGAAGCTATAAAATCAGTCAATTGGTTCTCGTGGTAGAGGAACGATTACTCTCCCGGCCATAAGCTGACGTCCAGGGATGTCTACTGGCCTTCCTGACTGAGCCTCTTCACCCCCCGCGGCAGCTCCGAAGCCGCAGAGCAGCGAGCCTGGGCTCAGGTCCTGCCCCTGCCCCTCGGCCTGGGCTCAGGTTCTGCCCCTGCCCCTCGGCCTGGGCTCAGGTCCTGCCCCTGCCCCTCGGCCGAGTGACGCCGGCGCCCAGCTCCACCCCTCCAGACTCGGTCTCCTCCCGATACGACGGGAGTAACAATTACACCTCGTCAGGCCAGAGCCTTTCAGAATTAAAGAGAACGAGGCGCATAAAGGGCTGCGCGTGTGCCTGGTAACAGTACTAAGTGGTATCATCCTGTACTTTCTTACAGAGCCTTCTGAATATAGTCCCCCCCCCAAAAAACCCACCCAGGTCACGTGAAGGGCTTAACCCGCTCACCGCAAACATGCGCTTGACCGCGGGCACGGGGCTGAAGGCGATCACCACGGGGGTGATGTCCAGCGCGCTGAACTCCATGGCGGCCGCGGCCACGGCCTGCGCGTC